TAAAGCTGTTTAGGGCTGCAACTAACAACTGTTTTCTTTATTGATAAATCTATTATGTTCTCCAATTGGTCCATATAAGCAAGCACACTTGTAGTATGATGCACATATTTGTACATATTTTACTAATTTCTATTTCTCATACAACATAGGCCTATCTCTTATATTTTTCCTCATATTTTTATATTGTGTTATATATTGTAGGATAATTTACCTTTTCTTTGCATACTTCTTATTTTTATTTTCTTATAATTTCTGTATAAGAGCCACCATAACATCTCCTAATTTTCTTCTGGAGATTAATAAAGTATTCGACCAAAGAAGCCAAAAATTCAAATATATTTAGCTTACGATCACACATAATCATATTTGAGAGACACCACCGAGTGAGTTTGGGAATTTTTTTACTCAAATAATTTGTTTTCTAAGTAATACTGGATCAATTGACTAGCTGTTTTAGCAGATTTCTTAGCAGGTTAATTCAGCTGGAATACAAATTGTGCTTTCAAAAAGGCCTACAATCATCAACCCAAAGCTTCAAATGAATGAATAACTAAATAATTAAATAATAATCAATGGTGTGGAGCCCCTGTAGAAATAGGTAATCAGTCATTCAATAAGAAATTAAACATATTTCAGCGTGAAAATATTGACAAATATTACAATATTACTCAATATGGCATCATATTAGTACTTGTGGCTTTTGGTCTATTTGCACTTATATTTACATTGTATTGCAGCCTATTTGTATTGTATCTGACATCATCTTATTGACATGATGAATTACACATTTTAAAAACATGATACATATAATATCACGTGCCCTTATTTTAGCTTTATAACATCCACATATATTTCTTAATCACATCACCCCTTGTTGCTTCACTATAATGTCGATTGTGCCTTTAATCAGCGGACCAGGTTGTCAGTCACGGCGCGTTAGACCACGCCCCCTTTCTGGAGCCTGTTCCACCTCGCTCAGGGTGACGTCATCCCGTTTATTAGCCAGGGATGAGGGCAGAAATCCTAGATCGTTCTCCATCCTGTAAGTGATGCTCTGGACCTCCCTCCTCCTCCACCACCACCTCCACCTCCACCTCCTCCTCCTCCTCCTCCTCCTCCTCCTCCTCCTCCTCCTCCTCCTCAGGATCAAAACAGCCTCGTCTTCTTTGTTTCGAGGGCTGCCTGCCGTGCAAGGTGCGCGTCCATCTGCGCGTGCTCGCGGTTTCTGTGCAGGAATGCGCGCTCACAGCTGACCAAAACAAGTATCACTTCAGTATCACTGCATGGATTTATTGCGTGTGTATATGGTCCTTAAATATATTTTATTTCTTAATATGACATCACCATAATACATTTTTATTTCAGGATGTTATTATTGTTTGTTTTGGGCAGGAGTTACATATGCTGTAGTTATTTCCTACTAAATCATATCTAAATATACCTTATTACCCGTGTGCCTGTGTTTTGTGTGGGGGATCTTCCTCACAGTATTCACAGTCACCAAGCTGACACGTGCCCTCTGAAAAGGTCGGACGCTATAGTTTAACTGTGCTCACTGACATACATTTATCCAGGCAGAGTGCTACAACACACACACACACACACACACACACACACACACGCTCATTTGCAGCAGCAGTCTGGAGTCAGTACTGTACAGGATTACAGGCAGATAGTCGGAACACGTACCACATATTGTGTGATGGTTTTTGTTCCCTTCACATCAAAGAGAATACCTGATGCAGCAGTTTGGCTCCTGCAGAGAACTATGGAGTTAACTGCTCGCTGGATGTACAGAGGGAGGTTAGGATGTCTGAGTGTGTGCCTGTGTGTGTGCAGACGTACTGTATGAAGCCAACTGTATCACACTGCACTATTCTAATATGCATGAGTACATTTAAATGTATTTCAAATGTATATGATATTTTGTTATAGGTGATCATTCAGTAAAGAATTGCATTTTTAAAATTCATATGCCATGATTAGATGAGCTGTGGTTGAAACCATTTCTTTAATTGTCTCATGACCAAAGCGTGTAACTCTAAATAAACATAGGACTACCTGAAATACATATTTTAGTTTTCCCCTTTAACCTGTTTTCTTAAAGAGCAGCAGCATTTGATTATTCAGCACATCCCATTAAGCACACCATTATTTTTTCTAAACCCTACAGGCTGTTTGGGTGTTTTTAGGTTTCAGTGTAAAGACCACAACACTGACTTTTATTTACCCTTTCCTCTGGTACATATATGCACCTGCACATTTAAACCAGTCGGCTGATGTGTATGTTTACAGCTGGCCTTACAAAGTTCATTGTCAATCTATGTCATGTGAGCAAAATAAGTGTCAGATGTGTTCCCTCAGTACCCTGCTTCAGTATCTGTATCAGCACAGATAAGCCAGCTTCACCGTAGGTGCCCCTCCGAGGGCCGCAATTGTGTTTCACAAGGACACGTTTAAGCACACAAGCGAGCGGACCAACACAACCCAGAACAATCTGTTTTATTACGTTTTTTCTTTACCAGGAACTCATTTAACACTTACACACTTAGTGACCTATTTCAGGTTAGAGCAACAAAACTCTGCCCTATGACAACTCCATTTCATCCATGTTTGACAGACCTTCTAACATCAAAGTCTTACAAACCTATAATGCACATTTTAAGACTTTTTGTGATTTATCCAACTTTGCCTAAACTGACTGTAAAAGCAGAAGTCATACTATTGATATTTTTATTCACGTCTGTTCCCATTTTAACTGATAAGACAATGAGAAAGCGTCAAAAGGTGAGCTGCTCCATCTTCCCTGCGTCAGCATGGGGTGTCAAGACTGTGGTCCAGAGAGGGTGCAGACTGCGACCACCCCTCTAAGCCAGCGTGAATCACCCAATTAAGACAATCACAAAGCACGGCGGCCATCTCTGTTTGTGTCTGATGTTTCCCCCAAGCAGCATAGTGCTCTGATTGGATTAGGGGCCTTGGCATAAGGGCGTGATTGATTTTCCTTTAATTGACAGTTATGGTGGAAAAGTCTTGGGGGCCGTGCTACCCACTCAAGCGCTTTTTAATGATACACGTCGTGCATGCATCCGTGCGCACACCCACACACCTGCACACACACACGCCGAGTCGTTTACTGTCTCTGAATATAATGAGATTTGTTTTTACTGTGGTGTTTTTGTACTGTTGCTACTTGGTGCAGACACAGAATCTTATATAACGCTCTTGGCTTGGATTCTGTAGGTGCTGCTCACAGTTCTCACTGTAGTTGTCAGGGCGGGCTGGTCCAGGCTGGAGTGGTGCACTAGGATGACCTCATCCTCAGATGGACGCAATAACAAACCTTGTAGCAATTGATTACCCTCTGCTGCCACCTACTGGCAAACAGGAAGAAGTATCAACACAACACAGACAGTAAAAATGTCTATCTGTAACCACATAATACACTGTGCAGATGAAGAGCTAGGAAGGTGTTTATAAGGCCTGAGTAATATATTGTATTAACATCAGCATCACAATGTGAGCATATGAATACTGAATGAGATTACCCAGTATACTTTAAACCACTGGTTCCCAACTGTTCCAGCTCCAGGGTCAAGATTTCTCCTTAGTCATTAGTTTGAGGTCCACACAGTTTAACATATTTAGCATCATACTACATACATCACCATGCTGTAGAGCTAGTTTGCTCTCTCTGTTCAGTATCTGTCCATTAGTCACTCACTCTACAGCAGGAAACAGCACTTCACCACAAAACTCTGTGCCTGAAATTCACTGTACTTAAAAATAAAATTTGTTTATAACAAACTTGACACCTTTGGGAGTCATTTGCAGTCCATTCCGAATGGTCCATGACCCACTTTTGGACCACAACCCAACAAGTGGGAACCACTGCTTTAAACTATATTACAGCCTTAATGTTGCGGTCATTTTGGCTGACACAATGTTAGTTTTTCATGTTTTAAATTAGACCGAGAATCATAAAAACACACTACGACAGAATCTATATTGTGCAATATTATTTTTGCATGGCTCCAGTATTTATTTATTTTTGTTCCATCTCGTCCAAAAAAAAGTTCCTTAGATGCAAAAAGAATATATTTCATTTAATATGACCAAAAAAAGTGATTTTTTTTTTTTTTACCTTTTGCAATGAAAGGTCCACTGTGTAGGATTTAGGGAGATATATTGGAATAAAATAAAAACAATATAATAAAAAATGTTTTGTTTGGGGTATAATCACCTGAGAATAAGAACTCTTGTGTTTTTGTTGCTTTAGAATGAGCCGTTTATATCTATTTAAGGATCGGGTCCTCGTCTATGGAGTCTGCCATGTTGCGCTGCCTTGTTTCTACAGTAGCCCAGAACAGACAAACCAAACACTGGCTTTAGAGGGGGCCATTCGCAGTTTCGCGTTGGCCACTGTAGTGAGTATCAAGCAGTGTTGAAAAAACACTGATTTGTAATGTGAAACTGGTTTATTTAGTGTTTTGCCAGTTTTAATTAGTTTGGTTTGGAGAAGAGAGACCTCTGTGGATAATTCAGCTCCTGGTAAAAACCTCCTGAATGTGTGGCTCAGGGCAAAGGTTAGCACATGTGAGTAGGTGCTGGACTAGTAGCCTGTCTGAGATGTCCTGAAACACTGATTTGTGATGTTAAACTGCTTTATTCAGTGTTTTTACCAGTTTACATCAGCTAGTCCATGTGTTTTGGAGAGGAGGACACCCATGTGGATAATTCAGCTTCCCGAAAAAACCTTCTGAGCAATGAAAACTGAAGGAATTCTAACTGGGACAAGTTTCAGCTGACTGAAATCTGCATCTCTCCCTCTATCTTACACACTGTTCCTTTAAAATAAAGTTTAAGTTTTAGCAACTGAAGGGGCGTTTTTTTGGTATTGTGTCTTATGCATTTTTTTTGTGTCGGTGTGCATTTTTTAAATCAGATTCAATTGTTGATCTTTTGTACAAACCTGCATGACCCCCTTCACAACTGTTTGTTTTAACAATTTTATTATATTTTATTAGTTTTACTGCAGTTTCCAGCTTGAAGTTGTGTATGATAATCACTGTAATAATGCAAGACACATTTCCCCTCTCAGGTAGTACAGTTAAAAAAAAAAAAAAAAAAAAAACAGTAGTCAAACCATCAAAATCAAGACAACTTCTTCTTGATTAAGAATCCAAACCTGGAATACATCAATGATAATCTAACAGCTGCTGACCTTCATGGATGGAATTACATCATGAAAATCATTTGAAATTGATACCAGGCTTTATATAGTAAATGTTTCATTCAAAGCTGCACAGAGACAGATATTGTTTCACTGAGAATATTTGACCTTTCTGTCATTCACCCACTAGAGGGCAGTAGCCAACTACTCTGACGGACACTTGGCTCCTCTCCTCTCCCTGAAGTGAGCACCTGTTTGCCTTGTGGTTCACACATGTTGGAGAGGTTTTCATATTCTTAAAAATAAACAGTCCACAAGGGGGAGAGAGCACACCTCTGAGAAGAGGACCGAACAGTAAAATGGGGTAACAGGTGCATAAGATGAAGGGAAGTCTGATCAAATCTAGTTTTGTTATATATTTACTTTGCTGCTTCCTGCATATACTGGGGCCTTTTCTGTTATTAAACAGGACCTCCTCTTGCGTAGTGTCAGTAGTCGGTGAGGTACTGTGTTGTCTGGAGGTATATATGACTGTCAGGCAGCCAGGAGTGGATGTCAGGTGTTGGTGTGTTTCTTGCTGTGACTGCGGTCTCCTCTCATCCAGTATGACTCCGTCTGCATCTCCATCAGTCTGGAGACGGTCCTCTGGGAGGCAAAGATCTCCTCCTCGGCTGTGAACAGAGTCAGGTGCTCCGCTGCGTCCTGAAGAGAGGAGCCAACACCAGGGTTAGCAGCTGATATTGAAACAAGTTTGGGTTAGAGAAACAGAATAAAGACAGAGGGTTGATTTCAATTGGTGTGAGAGAGAGAGACCCTCTTTCAGGAATATCATGCTCACATTCACATAGTCTCAGTTCTAACCCTTTCCTGAAAATGTAAACTTTGATTGACATATGATATAGCAAATTAAGTAACACTGGGTCTAATAAAATGTACATTAAATCAAATCAGATCACATCAACTTTATTTATATGGCACTTTTCATGCAACAGTAACACAGAGTGCCTCACAGAGGTTAAAAACAACAAAGATCCAAACAGAAAACAAAAAGAAAAGAGAAAACCCAACCCTCCCACCCAACAAAAAGCTATTTAGCTCGTAAAATTGAGTTAGTAGCTAGGTAAGAATGATCTAAAACAGAGACATAAAATGAAAACCTATAGGCTAACTAAAATAACAAAAGATAAAGGTTAAATAAGATAACGTAAAAAGAGGAAGGGTAAGAATATAAAAAATAAATAAAAAAGATAATAGATGGATAAATCAGTTATAAGAGGAATTTAAAATAGATAAGTAAAGAGATCAGTTAAAAGCCTGATTAAAAAGATGAGTTTTGAGCCTCTTTTTAAAAACATCAACAGTCTCTGTAGCTCTGATGTTCTCCGGCAGGCTGTTCCACAATCGGGGGCCATAATAATTAAATGCCGCCTCCCCGTGTGTTTTAGTCCTAACTTGTGGTATGGTTAAAAGGCCGTTGCTGGAGGACCTCAGGGTCCACGAGGGTTGATATGGTAAAAGCAGGTCAGATAAATAAGAAGGCCCAAGACCGTTAAGACATTTAAAAACTAATAAAAGAACCTTAAAATCGATCCTGAAGCGCAGAGGGAGCCAATGCAGCAATTTTAAAACTGGTGTAATGTGCTCCCGCCCTCTGGTCCTCGTCAGCACTCGTGCAGCTGAATTCTGTAATAACTGTAGATTTGAGATAAAAGCATGCATCAGCACCTCCGTGCTGGCCTGAGAGAGAAACGGGTGGACTCTGGCTATATTCTTAAAGTGGTAGAAACCTGCCTTTGTTATGTTTTTAATATGTGGAATAAAACAGAGCTCAGAGTCAAAAATCACACCCAGATTTTTTACAGATTGTGTTGGTTTAAAATCCTGTAGTTTTGGTAAAAGTTTCTCTCTCTGGCCTTCAGGACCAATGACTAAAACCTCTGTTTTGTCCTGGTTGAGCTGCAGGAAATTCGCTGCCGTCCATGACTTTATATCTAAAATGCAGTTAAAAAGTGCATCATTTGGCCCTGTGTCATCAGGAGACACTGCGATGTACAGTTGCGTATCATCAGCATAACTATGAAAGCTGATGCCGTGCCTCCTGATGACGTCCCCCAGAGGAAGCATGTAGAGATTAAAAAGAGTTGGACCTAAAATTGACCCCTGGACATTAGAAATTTGTTTTGGATTTATACTGTAATAAGTAAGCTTAATGTGATTGTTAACATCAAATATTACCATACGGGTACACCACCATACGCTGCTGCAGACTTATGTAAGTGTTCCTGTGATTCTGTAAATTCCCTTTATTAAGTTTGTAGTCCACACTCTTATAAACTAATAACTAGTTAACAACCCACTTATTTATATCCTTATTGAAGCCTTTTATGAGGTGAACTATTTTACAGAGAAATCAGTAATGAGATTTTTTTTTACAAATATTTGGATTTTGGGAACGACATCTATTCATTGCTGTGAGGAGATGATGGTTTTCCTGATGTTTTAAAGGAATACTTCACCCTCAGAATGACTATTTGTGTATCAATTACCCACCCCGTGTTACATGGAATTCATGAAGTAAAGGTAGTGGTTTTTTTGCATGACTCCATGGTGAACGAAGAATCCAAAAACAGAGAAATACTTGATGAACTGAAATACAAGGAGTCCGCGTTTAACAACAGCAAAACTATATCAAAACAGCAGTTTACTATCTCACACGCAACTCATGCAGTGTAATCCAAGTCCCATTTATCCAGTCGTATGCTCAATGCTTTCCAATCATGTGCATTTTCACTAAAACCTTACTATTTAAAACCCTTCCTCATAAACAGTCACACAAACGACAAGAAGAACCCCTGGGAAAAAGTGTGCATTTGAACTCTGCTCAATGAAATGCATGAGCATAAATAAGGTTTTAGCAAAGATGCATGAGTTTGGGAAGCTTAACATACGACTGAATGAATGAAACTTGGAATATACTGCATGAGTTGTGTGAGAGTTTGTAAACAGATGTTTTGATATAGTTTTGTTGTAGTTAAATGTGGACCTCTTGTACTTCAGTCCATCAAGAATTTTCTCCGTTTTTGGATTCTTCGTTCACCTTCATGTCATGAGTCATGCAAGAAAAACTACATCTACTTCATGAATTCCATGTCACATGGAAATTGATATCCAAATTGATGTAGTTTTGCTGCTGTCAAAAGTGTTTTGATTCTCCGTTCGTTGTCATGCGGGAAAAACAGTTTTCTTCACTTATTCAACATAACACAGGGTTACTAACTGATATACACGTGATCATTTTGTGGGTGAAGTATTCCTTTAACTCGTTATGTTCTGTTGTAGTAGATGTGATTTTACCCCGCTGAGGCCGAGGTCATCCAGCAGTTGTCTGTCCCTCTCATTGTCCCCTCCTGTGTGGACAAACAACCGGTCCAAAGGAGAGGCCGCCAGCAGAACCACTCTCACCTGGGACACAGAGGGAAGAAAATAGATACAGGAATGTCCAGTTTATTAATAGAGGTTACTTCCTATATAATTAATTGTCTGTTTCCTGTGATCAATATTAAATGACAGCAGTTAACCATTCATTTATTACCTCCTTAAAATGACAGTGCGTATATATTTCAAGTCAATTTGAGGTGTTTTATTGCATCCCTGAGAAGATTTAATTGCACATTGACTTTTTTTTACCAAATCAAATTTCCTCTTTGACACAATAAAGAACTGAATGATGAAAATATAGTTCATGGGAAGTCAGCCAATATGAGGTTGACACTTAACTGAATACTGTACTGAATGCAGTGGTAATATAATAATCTGTGATATTGCTTTTTGCAGCAGTGAATAGTATAGGGATGTACCATTTTTATCTCAGTGCTCACTTCTATCTTTGGGCACTTTACTTTTTTTTATCAGCAATAAAGAGATGGCAGAAAATGAAGGTAGAGAAAGATGGAGTGACATGCAACAAAAGCCCCAAGTCTGATGGCCATCTTGAATTTGGTATATTACATAATATTGTCCATCAGCCTCTTGGTTAATGTGTGTGCTGTACACTGAATAACACAGAACAGACAACTGCCGCTTCACTGCTTTCAGTGGAAACAGGCAACTTTCCTCCCCTATCGTTTCCAAATGGTATTATTGATGTCGCTGTCGTAAAAACAACTGGATCACTGTCCATTTTCCTCAGAGCCTGGCGACTACCAGTTTCCACTAGGGATGTCAGTTTCTGTGAATTTTGCTTTAGACACCTATCTGCTGGTAACTAAGTGGGTAATTTTTAGGAAAACAAAAAGCTGAAATACAAGAGGTCTCTCCTTTTAGTCCGGTGCTCCTTTGACTCAGTGAGCTTTAGCACTACCCAGTTAGAAGTGGTGAAATTTTAATGTTTTGTGATGAAAATGTTTGCCTTTTATTTTCTGTCTTTGCTGACAGACAGCTGGCCAATCACATTAATATGTGGAAACATGACCACCACCCTAACTCCAGTTTCCACTGGTTTCTTGACCATTTTGAACTATGTGGGTCAGGTGGGAGCTAACGTTAGCTAGCTAGCAGCACCACTCATTCGTTCATTCCTTTCCAGTGGCAGAACATGTTGCTGTGGAAACATTGTGCCCACCCTACAGTCTCTCCCCTGGTCACCAGGGGAGTAAGGGGCTTCATTCTGAGCCGCAAAACCCTTTTAACACTATTTACAATGTTAGCATCACTAGCTGTGCTGACACTGCTAAACGGTTTGAGCTAGGGAAGACTGGAGGGTAGGCACAATGTTTCCATAGCAACACCGGTGGGTCGGGACAGCATTGCTAACAGTAATGGCCAAATGTGTGGCGCTGCTAACTCTAGCTAGCTCCCACCTGATCCTTCTGGTCTGCAGCGCAATAAACTGAAGGGAAGCAAAATTAAGCTGTAGATCGACATGTGGAACTGGTCAAAAAACTTCAAAGTGGTTGATCGGTTAATCGTTGACATCCGTAATTTTCACAGTTACTTCAGCTAGTCCTTTGTCCACCATTTCCACTACTGGGGACAGTAACTGTAAAGAACTTACTTTGATACTCTTTGGTAGGTGGACATAGTTACCTATAGCTCTACCCATCGCCAGAATACACGTTGGCATTGTACAGTTCTGCAAACCACGGAACGTAACATTTTTAACCAATCATGTAGCCAATATGTTAAAACTTTAGCTTTCAACAATGTTGTGGCTCACATAGTTATGTTGAGGCACAAAAAGTACTTGGTTATGGTTTGGAAAAGATCAAGTTTGGCTTAAAATACCCAATTTTGACAGCAAAATCGTGGCTGGGAATGCCAGGATGTCTTACTAATCAACAACAGGTTTGGTCTCTTAGAGTGGTCTACAGCTCGGCAGCCGTCTCGCTGAGATGTCACACTGTCCACCATCCCCTCCACCACCCAATGACAAAGTCAGTTCATATACATGTAATCAGAACTACATCACTTTCGAAATGTTGCTATGATATGCTTGAAACGTATAAATGTAACGTATTAGTGGTTAGTTCTGTTTCTGGCGACTGGGCTGAATAGCTACTGGGAAAAAACCAAAGTGCTATCCTATGTGATGGCTGATGCACTTCCTTTCTGCTGTAAATCGAGCCATCATTTTCCCAAGAGATCATTTCCAATGGCAGAATTAGTGAAAGCAAAGCTTATAGGGAACCAATCTAAATGTCAATTAGTTAAACCAAAAACTAGTTCCCCATAACTACAGTTTGTCATACAGATAGAGCACCTTGTTGTCGTAGAAGTTGTCTATGAGGGTGGTGAAGCGTCTGGCCTGGTCCTTGAGGGTCAGAGTCAGGACGGGAACATGGCGGATGAATACGGTGTCAAAGTGCTGTGCTATTTCCAGGTAGTCACTGGCACCAAGAGGCTGGAAAACAAGTGAGCAGGTTACAACAGTGAGTAAACTACAGCAAAATACAGAGCAGAGGGTGAATAGTTTCAGTGTAGCACAGCAGCCTTGTAAATACACACACACAAGACGTTGCAGTCTGTATGTTTGACCTGAAAAAAACACCAAACATACAATGGAGCATGTTGTGCAAAAGACGGATGTTCAGTCACTGTCCTTGGGTCTTTGGCGTTCAGGAACATTGCGCTCAAAATTAATGTGGACGGGCCAACATGTATGTCAGAAGAAGCCTTGAAGCTCACTCACTCTGCCTGCAAAAGCTCACCTCTGTCCATCAGGCTGCAGACTTTACACACACTGACGATTACTGTACCTCACTGCTTTTTTTTTTCTTTCTTTTGTAGCACAACGGGCTCAACCATTCACTAAATTGTCAATAGACTTGCTTTTTGACATTGAGCAGAAAATAGGACTGAGATGGAGGGAAGGTGATTCAGTTTGAGAGCAAAGGCTTGGACAATAAGGACACAGAGGAGGGAAGAAACAGAACACAGAGGCAATAAAGAGGCAAGAGAGGTGCTTTGAATTTCAACAGTTTTGATTAGTGGTGAGTGGATTTTGTGTGTGAGTGAACTGTGTGTGCGTGTGTGTGAGTCAACTCTGTGCGCCATTCCTGTATTGAAACTATATTTTTGAAAGCAACAGCTGAGATGAGTGTTATGTTGTTCCTGCTGCCTTTTTCTTTTAATGTTTTTTGTAAACGCTGTAAGAAAAACTATATGTATAGCTTAAGATGGTGATTACATGCAGTAATAAGTACTATTGTTAAGGATGTACAGTCAGGTCCATAATTATTTGGACAATGATACAGTTGTCATCATTTTGCCTCTGTACACCACCACAATGGGTTTTAAATGAAACAGTGAATATGTGCTTAAAGTGCAGACTCTCAGCTTTCATTTAAGCCTTTTTTCAAAAATGTAGTATGGACCGTGTAGGAATTACAACCATTTCTTCACACAGTCCCCCAACTTTAAGGGCTCATAAGTATTTGGACAAACTAACATAATCATCAATTAAACAGTCAGTTTTAATACTTGGTTGCAAATCCTTTACAGTCAATGACTGCCTCAAGTGTTGGACACATAGGCATCATCAGATGCTGGGTTTCTTCCCTGGTGATGCTCTGCCAGCCCTTTACTGCAGCCGTCTGCACTTCCTGCTTGTGTTTTGGGTGTTTTGCCCTCAGTTTTGGCTTCAGCAAGAGAAACGCATGCTCAATTGGATTCAGGTCAGATGATATGACTTGGCCATTGCAGAACATTCCACTTCTTTGCCTTAAAAATGTCTTTGGTTGCTTTTGCAATATGCTTCAGGTCAATGTCCATCTGCACTGTGAAGCATCGTCCAATGAGTTTTGAAGCATTTGGTTGAATCTGAGCAGATAATGGTGCCCCAAACACTTCAGCTTTCATCCTGCTGCTCTTGTAAGCAAGACAAGACTTCACTAGAATAAATACAGAGGGTTTATCACAAGATGCAAACCATTGGTTAGCCTTAAAAATGGAAGGCCAGATTAGAGTTTGTCAAAAACCATCTAAAAAGCCTGTACAGTTGTGGAACAGCATACTATGGACAGATAAAACAAAGATCAACTACCAGAATGATGGGAAGACAAGAGAAGGAAGAAGGGAAGGAACTGCTCATGATCCAAAGCACACCACCTCATCAGTGAAGCATGGTGGAGGTACTGTTATGTCATGGCCATGTATGGCTGCCAGTGGAACTGGTTCTCTTGTATTTATTGATGATGTGACTGCTGACAAGAGCAGCAGGATGAAAGCTGAAGTGTTTGGGGCACCATTATCTGCTCAGATTCAACCAAATGCTTCAAAACTCATTGGACGATGCTTCACAGTGCAGATGGACATTGACCTGAAGCATACTGCAAAAGCAACCAAAGACATTTTTAAGGCAAAGAAGTGGAATGTTCTGCAATGGCCAAGTCATATCATCTGACCTGAATCCAACTGAGCATGCGTTTCTCTTGCTGAAGCCAAAACTGAGGGCAAAACACCCAAAACACAAGCAGGAAGTGCAGACGGCTGCAGTAAAGGGCTGGCAGAGCATCACCAGGGAAGAAACCCAGCATCTGATGATGCCTATGTGTCCAACACTTCAGGCAGTCATTGACTGTAAAGGATTTGCAACCAAGTATTAAAACTGACTGTTTAATTGATGATTATGTTAGTTTGTCCAAATACTTATGAGCCCTTAAAGTTGGGGGACTGTGTGAAGAAATGGTTGTAATTCCTACACGGTTCATACTACATTTTTGAAAAAAGGCTTAAATGAAAGCTGAGAGTCTGCACTTTAAGCAGGTATTCATTGTTTCATTTAAAACCCATTGTGGTGGTGTACAGAGCCAAAATGGCGACAACTGTATCATTGTCCAAATAATTATGGACCTGACTGTATGTTACTGTCCTGAAACCGTTGTTTTACAATCACAGAATGCAGAGAAGATTATTACAAGACAAAGACACCAGGATAAAACACTCACTCTGCCACACAGCTCATCAAAAGTACAGTCGGCGATGGAGCCACAGGTCTTTGCCAGAGTGACGTCTCTGCCCAGCACTGTGAGCGTCCTAGGGCCGGTAACTATGGAAACATACAACAATCAATATACCTCATATCATAAATATTTTATGATAACATTTACAGTTGAATCAATATGTTAAAAGCAAATCTGTGAAGGAATGAAAGTTAATCCTCCACCACAGAATTCAAACCCTCCTCCTTTCAACCCTGCTATTAACTTACAAAGCAGGACACAAGATGTGTATGTACCTTAAGTGACAAACATAATCCAAATTGGATGACTATTGTGTGTCTACAAATTTAAAATACACTGTTTTTAGATATATAAATACAAGAAAAATTCCAGCAAAGTTCCAAACTAAAAGAATTTAAACTTAAAATCCACAAAATCCACAGTTCAAAGTCCAACGTTTTAGAGCCTTTAAAAGTGACTTGAAAATCAAATTTCGCCTTTTTTGAACCTTTTGAGGCCTTGGCTTTATTTTAGCTCTAAAGCTTAATAATGGTCGAGAATAATACACAACCAAACCAGTCAGCTTTGTGCAGAAAAACATTCCTTTTGGTACATTTTTGCAAAATATGATGCCATACTGTTGCTAGAAAGAATGGGCTAATGCAATGGTGGAAATAGCGTCTAATTAATGTATGCTCAGTAGAATAAATGGCGATCAGGAGAAAGGAGTGCCTGAGAGCAAACTTTCTCATTTTACAGCTAAACAGTAGACTAAAACATGTTTCTGAAAACATTTGAGAACAGACATAGGCAATGTAGTAACAGAATCTTAATTAATTTTTGATAAGCAGTGCCTTGTTTGACAGTTTGTCCATAGTCCGTGAGCAGTGACTGCTTGCTGTGTTAAAGACTCCTCAACTGTGATTGGTTGAATCACAAGTAATGCACACTTCCTTCTGCTCAGTGATATGGTTGGTGGGTGTAGTTTGGTAGAAAGAAAATAGTTCCTACATGAAACTGAATCACAACAAGGTCTGTGGATTGTCTTGAGAATCCGTGTCATGATTTCTGTAAAGAGACATTGCTGTTGAGTTTTCCAAATGTATTTTTTTGGTGCTTGAGCACCACAAGCTGAGTGCCATCTAGTTTTATTATATTCGAGAGAAGGCAGACATCTCTATGGCCGATATCTTGGCACTTGGCAACTCACAGCAAAACAATCTAGACTGATAAACAGCACAACAGGCAAGAGGAAAAATACGTAGTTTTGATTTTGGGGTGAACTGTCCCTAGGTTGTCCCTAAGTTTCTTACCACTCTTTTGACTTAAGGCCAGCTCCTCGAAAAGCGCATCCAAGAAGGTCTCCGCACCAGGCTCCCCTGAGCTGAACAAGACAGACACACACACACACACACACACACACACACACACACAGAAACAGAGAGGAGAAAATAGGATATGAAATTAATAATGCTGAAGTGGCCACATCAAACGATGGCAGCAAGGAGAGCAGGGGAGGGGGGTACTTAGCTTTTCACTCCATCAGTAAAAAACAGGATGTTAGGCTCTAAACACGAGCATTAGCCTGTGAATGCACGTCAAAATGAGATTGTAAAGTGTGTGTGTGTTTGTGTCTGTGTGTGTGCTTGTGTTTTAACTCCAGGTAAAAGGGTGCGATGTGCTCTATTTACATACAGTGAAAAGACGAAAGCACTTGAAAGCTCCAATACAGCGATGAGCAACAGCAGTGTCATTCATACCTTGTTTGTCTGCGTGTGTGTGTGTGTGTGCGTGCGTGTGCTCCTAACAGCGTATATGTAATGAGGAAAATAGAAAACTAGCTTTTAAAGCTCTACCATTTTCTCATATTCTATTGATTCCTCTTTCATTCTTTTCATGGATCTCTCAAGGTAATGTACTGTAGGTCTTTATAAACCTCCCAGTCTGCTTCTCCCCATTTATCCATCTGTTTGCCTTCGCTTTCTGTCCTTTAAAAAATAAATAAAATCAAGCTCGATAATGTGCACAAACATTTCCTGTGTGTATGTGAATGCCTCTGTGTATGTAGTGGATGCAGGTAAATGTCGACTCTTTAGCAGACCTCTGCGCAGCGTCTAAGCTGAGTCGGAGCGCACACAGAGGAACAAATGTGACCAATATTAGTGTATTAGTGCATGTGTCTCACAGATAGTAGAGTTTCCATGCTGCAGCGCTGTCCAGCCTCCTGTAGTCAATCCCAGCATCTAGGCACATGGTGTGGCAGTACTCCTGCACACACACGCACAAAAACACAAACACACAACAGACAGAAGGGTGAATGAGAAGTCAGGCATGTGGGGGACATGTATTTTTAACGTGGTAGAAGATGTTAGAGATGTTGTTTAAAATAAAAGCTCTGTGCCAGAAATTCACTGTACAATAAGCGTTTTTTTTTTGTGTTGAGTTTGCCAGTCACTTGCAGTCCATTCAGATTGGACATGCAACCCTCTTTTGGGCCACGACCCACAAGTTGGGAACCAAGGCTCTATGGCATATAGGATTAAAATGCTTGCAGTGGTGGGTGGAATGCTGAAAATCTATACTTAATTAAAAGTACAAACCCAAAAAATTACTCAAGTAAACTTAAAAATTACCATTTGAGAAACCTACTCAAGTAATGTAAAAATACCTGGTTAATAAGTTACTTTTCATTTTAAAACAGTAATATCAAAAAAACAACAGACCAATAGACTATAGCTACAAGATAAGTTAATGTCATTATCATATTGTCAAAGATTAACGTTATACATGTAAAATCAATGTAGCTAACGTTAGCTAGCTCACTTAATCTTTAAAAGCGGAGATGTGAGTGTTTTTCAGGCAGCACAGCAGCACTTCATCGTGTGATCTTTGTCTTTTTTTAGATTTTGGTATGAACAGCGTGGCCAGTTGTGGTCAGGGACTGTCGCTGGAAGCTGCCTCTTGTTCTGTTTTTCTTTGCTCCGTCATCATCGCATTGTGGTCAAAAGACAAGTGAGGCTTACTTAGCATCTGCAGTAGATGTGAATGAACTCCCCCTCCACCTAATCCTTGCACTGAGAGAAGACCAGTTGTACTGAAGATATAAATGGCAAATGTAGTGACGTACAAAGTAGATTACTGGCTCCAAAATATACTCAAGTCAAGAGTAGAAGCACGTTTTAAAAAAGGAACATGAAAGTACTGGTTCCTTAAAAAAAGACTACTTCTTTTACTCGTGAATTACTTGTACTGTATCACTACCCACCAATGAATACTTGTTAGCAGGATAAATTAATTGTTTTGTTCTTTTCATGGGATCAGGTAACAATAAGAAAGATGTGCAATACCACCAGACTTATCTTTTAAGTAGTTCAAGTTATTTCACAACAGTATGGCATCAAATTTCCCCCAAATTTGGATATTTTAAATTCAGTTTTAGAGGTTTTTCAAACTTGTATAAGGGTATCTGGTGTGGCTCTTTCAGTCACCACGTTTAGTTTTATGGCTCGACTCTACTTAAGAATATTTTAATATACATGTAATCTCTCTTAACAAATGTGTAGACCCACTGTATACGAATCCACAGCTTCTAAACTGATCAATATGCAATCAGAAGTGTGTAAAATACCACCAGATATTAGGGATGAGCGAGTACACGATTATCTGTATCTTTGTCTGTATCTGTTTACCAAACAAAATGATCTGTATCTGTACTCGAAATGGGTGGAGTTTGGGTCCAACATGGGTGGGGTTTAAATTGGAAGTGGGCATATATTATTTTAAGCCCTGATATGGGTTGATCAGAAGTTGCTATATTTATTATTTAGTAGAAAACTATTAAGAGAACGACCTCAGAATTCAGATCTTTTTTTCTTTTAGACCAAGAGTTAAAATACAGCTACCCAAATGAGGATTTCTCAGTAAGAAGTACACTATCTGTACTGGATACTTATTTAATCCGAGTATTCTGCTCAACCCTACCAGATATCCTTTAAATCTGATGTAAAGTACAGGTTTGGTGGTGTTTAATCTGTGGCACATAGAAGGTACCAGAGACGTATTTAAAATATGGACAGGAAATACTGAAACTGTGCACCATATAAATGGAGTCAGAGTAGATGCTATCTTTTAGTTTCGTAGACTGATCATCTTGTGGGAGTCTTTGAAATAAGCGATTGTGCCGAGAAGTCCATTTTTTGTTGGTGTAAATTAAATTCTTGCTCTTCCACATGATAGATTATTTTTATTCTTATCATGAAATTCTATAGTCTGTGTCAACAACACATTATCTGACCGTTTCTAATGCTTTGCAGTTCTCCACTGCTCATCTGTCATGGACAAAGAGCAGATAAGGAACAAGCGAACAAATTCAACACAGAAGGCAGCAGACATCTTTCTCTCCTCTGACAGCGCCGGGATTTTGTGTCACTTCTTCATGGTTTATTGAGCTGATCTATTGTTCCCGCAGCTATTCAAGTGTGTTACAGCAGGGGTGAACTCGTGATGCAGAGTTCAAACTTTTCCAGATAGTGTAAAACGTCAACAGGATTCATGTCAGGGAGTGCAGCACAAACTATAATCATCATCTCCACCATTCTATCAAAGAAAAGAAAGGAATTGCATATCATCCCATCCGAGCCATCGCCGGCTGACTGAGTATTCGACGACAGCTCCGGTAAATTATGAAATCAGTGAATTTCTGCCACTGGCCTCCTTAAGCTGCAGGATAATTAGTAATCATCACAAAGCAAGGGGACGGAAATACTCTATTCTTCTCCGCTGTCAACTTTTTATCTCCATGTCCGCTCACACAAACGGGGTTCCCACTCTGAGCCAATTGGCTGAATCAGGCTTAATAACAACCTGACAAACTCGCCCTCCCCCACGCACAAAAGGGAGGTGTCATTTCATCAACCTACTGTGACCCTACCAACGGGTAAATAGTCCCTCCAAAATGGAAAAAAAAGAAAAACTTGTCACTATCGCAGCCACATCATTAGACTCTCAGTTTGTCTTTTCTCCTGCCATCTCCTGCTCCCTCCCTTTATGCACCGTCTCTACCTACAGGAAAGGCGGCTGATGCGTTTCTTGACGGAGAAGCGAGGTACAAATAAGAGAGAGGGAAGAAGGAGGAATGGAAACACAATCAGTGGTGATGATTCCATTGGTTATTTATAATCAGATAAGGCTGAGGCCTTGCGGGTCATTACTTGATTATCCATCTTGAGGGGATTGTCAAGTTCTCACTCCTCCAAGATTTCATCCGCCTACACGTTGTGGTCGCCCCCCTCCACCATCACGCTCCCCTCACAGACTCCTTGTCAGTCTACTTGGCAACTTACAGTCTCGTCTCCGACTGTCCGTTTAGCTTAGGCTGTCTATCTTCATTTAAACTATTTAAACGCAAGAGATTAATTAACAAGGAAACAAACAGTTAAACAACAACACAGGTACAACTGTGTCAAGCTTCACTGTGTGTCGTAAATTGTTCCACGCATGTGCAGCAGAGGTGGAAGCCTCGAGTCACATGACTTGACTTGAGTCCGACTCAAGTCGCAAATTTAAGGGCTGAGACTTGCTTGACGAACACTGATGAAAGATTGACTTTGACAGACAACCTGAAAAGACTTGACATTTTCTTCAATGTTTTCATTTTTCTAGGTTTTGAGAAGTTACGATTTTGTTTTCGAAACATGATGATGCACAAACCACAGAGGAGGAGGACCCGACAGCTGATACCCAGACGCACTCTACGCCCAGCTCTCCTCTTGAGGTATGGCAGTATGTACAGCGGCACCATGAGCTTCACCGTTTTCATTTAGCATTGAACATGCTTAGCAGCCAACGACACACTGTCAGCTCTGAGTCCGTTGCTCACACCTGCAGAGAGCCGAAACATGCACTGCTAGCTGCCATTTGCCCAGCCTTTCTTCTAGGGTATTTGCAGGAGGTTTTTTTGGCTTCTACAAGTGCTTAATGGCGTCCATACCTGCTCTCTAAGTATAAGTTCACTGTCTGTGCATGTGTGTGTACGCAAAAATCTTAATTGCTAAAGTAACTAGTAACTAAAGCTGTGAGATAAATGTAGTGGAGTAGAAGTAGCCAGTGACATGAAAAGACTCAGATTTGATCTTACATTACCTGAGTATGTATATTTAGTTATATTCCACCACTGGGCGCAGCTTGTCTTATTTTTATGAGTTTGTGACTCGACTTGCTTGACTTATATCTAGGCCTAGACTTGATTCTCAGCACACCGACTTGTGACTTGCACATATGATTTACTCCCACCTCTGGTGTGCAGCACAAAAACTAAAAGCAGTTTTCCCAAATTCAAGCATTAGCTAATCACTTGAATGAGCTGAGTCATGACTCTGGGATCAGTTTAATAAAGGCGTTGATACATAAAGGCATGTTGCCATTTAGGGCTTTATAAAGAAACAGAAACCAATGCCTATTGTGTCCTACAGTCAGAGATGGCCATCCAGTAATGGTTCCCGGTTATAAATCTTAAAGGCCAGAGTGCAGACTCAAGGGGTTTAAGACGGGAGGCAGACGTGTGTCTACAGATAACATCAACTGTTGAGAGGATTAGGCGATTAATCAACAAGGAAATCAATTAGTCACTTTGAAAAAAATTACTCGTTACTCTGTTTAACATTGTTGTCAATTAATAAAATATTTGGGTTTTGCTCCTTTTGTTGGACAAAACAAGCAATTCAGAAGCAGAATTTTTGACATTTTATAGGCAAATCATTTGATAAAGGTGTATGCTTAATGGATAAAATATTAGGATACTATTAATACCCAAATACTTTTTCTAATGAGGCAAAAATTAATTGCATACAGTATTTCTTTTTAAATTACTAACCGGGTTGTAACGTAACCAAACAACTCCAAAATCTACCAGCCACTCAGTAGATTAACATTGTTTTTTGGAGGTTAGTAAACACATCTAGAAGCCACTTGAATATTTAACCATCATTTGGCTGGTGGCTGGTGTCTACTTTTGTTGTTATACTAAAATTTTATTATCTCACTAGTGGCTCAAATAAATATTGATAAAGTTGAAATGAAGAGGATTAATCAATGAATTATCAACAGGACATTATCTGAAAACAATTTTAATCATTGAAAAACTATCATTTATCTAGTAAACATGCCAAAACTTGAAATGTGCCCTGGTAGTGAGGTAAAGGGTGATAGTAACTGTCTAATTATCTGGTTTTGGTTTCTCAAATGTCAAAATTTGCTGCTTTTTTCAGTTT